GTCTAATGTCTTGTTCTCAGTGCTCATACTTAATATACCTAAGATCTCTATTCCAGTTTTCTCAGGTTTTAAAGAAATAACTGTTTCTTCAAACTTTTTTTTTTTGATATGTTTGTTTTTTAAGAAGTCAAAATGTGACGCTCTTCCCTTTCCTAGAAATTCTCGGTTTTAATGGGAGATGCAGATTATAGGATCCAGTGAGTCGCTTAGGGAAGCTGCCTGGCAGTTCTGAGCCAGCCTCGTGTAACTTTTATGAAACACCTCCGCTCGGCCTGTCAGGTAGAATTTCCCAGGCACAGTCTTCTTCAGATGGCGCTGCTTCCATTTTTAGGAGAGCACAACGGTAATAAGGCATCACTGCACCATGTGAAAGCCGCTTTCTCTTTTCCTTTTTAATTGAAGGATCAACTGTTCACACAGGGGCCTACCTGCCACATTCGATCAGCATCGGGCCTTGGGGAAACCCTCAGTTGATATTCATATCACCATGCTGTCCTGGAAAAAAACAAACAAATGTGTTTGGAGCATCGATATTCACTAGGCATGTCATTTTTATGACACACTAAAGCATCATTGTTTAATTCTTACAGTAAACAGAATTCCTCAGTTTAAACAGAGATACCTTGTATTAAATTGACATTGCGTTGTGCTTGTATTGAGCTTCCTTGGTTATATATGACAACCTATTGAGCACATTAGGAAATGCAATTTGACATAACATGATGAAGAGGCACAAAGATGTATATCCCAGTGGGTGCGTTCTGTGGACAATTATGATTCCACTTCCCTGTGAAAATTAAACACCTTAAAAATTCTACCATTATGGAAGGAGAAAGGTGATAAACTTGAAACTGCTTACATTAGATAGCCAATGGGAATTAAATATCCATTTTGTGGATTATCCGTTGAAGAAACTGAATTTACAGAACTGGATTAAATAACCTGGTCGTCCTTAACACCTAGCATTGTTTTACTTTCTTTCCATTATCTTACTGATTATTACCATAATAGCATAAAGAAGAAAAAGCACAAAAATAGGGTACAGTACAATGTAATTCGGTTTCCGTTTATTTGTTGGATATTTGTCTTCTGCCTCTCTCGATCCTCTCTGCACCCTTCCCTGCTCAGCCCTGGGTTCCAGGCTGACCCTCAGGCCCCATGCCAGCAGCCTCCTCTCTCTCTGCCCGGTGCGCCTTCGGTTCGTCCATGAGCAGCGGCAAGAGAGGGGAGGATGAGAGGCGAGTGCAGCCTCAGCAGTCCTGCCTGTGGCTCCCTCTGCCTGGCTCCCGGCTGCAGGGCTGCATTCCCACCCAAAGGCTCCAGCTCCTCTCCAGCGGGCTTCCTGAAATTCAGCTCTTTCTCCAGGCTCCCGAGTCCATTGTCAGCCAGTCCCCGCCACATGCAGAGATGTGTACTGGCTCCCAGCCAGCCGGTCTCCCAGGAGCCCTAGCTCTGACTGGCTGGGGGTGCTTTATGATCACTTACTGCTCTCCCTTACCCCTGCCCTTCTCTTCATAAGCGGTCCCTTCACTCAGTTGCCCTCCGTTGTCCAGTTAAGTTGCCACGAGTTTCGTGCTGAGATTCACATGGGTTCCTAAATCTCATTTAAACCCACTCGCTGTGCGGAGCCTGTGGGGCTGGAGAAGTAGGAAATGCTTTCCTTCATTCCGGAGTGTCAAAAGTGGATAAGTAAGCAGAATTCCCGTGTTGTTACACTTTATTTTGGTGCACTAGACATCCTAAAAGCAACGAGAACCATATTCAGAAGGTGTAAAGTCAGGGGGCGCCTACCCAGTGTATTCTCATAATGCAGTTTGGTTCGACAGTTGATCTTTCAGGCCCTCCTACAAATGCTGTCAAGCACTGGTTTCCACAGAGCGTGCATGTGTGTGCGGCTGTCTGTCTGCGACCTCACCCGCGCCTCAGTTGGACCTCAGTGTCATCCGCCTCTCAATTCAAACGCATCGTAGGTGCTGAAAAAATCTCAGCAGTGGAATTAACTGTCAGCAGTTTCGCCTGATTTTACACTCAGCTCATTGTCATGGACTCACCTGACACTCAGCCCTTGTCTGAGTAAGGCTCTATTATTTCTTTATCCGTGGTTCCAGATGTCATGGTTGTCTGGTTTCTCAGCATAGCTCGCTAGGAGTTCACTTGCTAGAGTGAGTCAGGTAAAGACAAAGAAGTAACTTTTGGAAGACTGTCACCGAGGGAGAATGGAGAAGAACTCAAGAAGTAGACCCAGGAAGTGCTGAAGTGTAGCTGCTGAGTGATGTGGAGGATAAGACCTGGGTAAGCGTCCTCTGTCTGCTCAGCCCCGGAGGGTATTGCCGACTTAGAGAACATAGCCTTCGCTGTCCATAAGGCACGGTTTGAGTCATCGCAATGTGATTCAATTGTATTCATTACCGTCTGAGGGAGAAGACAGGTGTGTAGCGCTTGCTAAAAAGATTTCCTTCAGGAATGGTTCAGATTTTTAAAGTTTGTACTTAAGGGATGAGATTTAGTCATCACGAAAATGAACTTCTATAAAATATCTCATTTCCCAGTATGTCAGATAAATGAGATATTATGCACATAATCCTAGCATAAAAGAAATTCTCTGTTCCCCAATTATGCAAGAAAAAGGAAATATTGATCTGGGTACTTTCTATTTCAATGTTGAAAAGTAGGTCAAGTAGATAGTATTTCGGGTGTCTTACAATTTCTTTAAGAGCTTCCGTGACACATTATTTGCACATAGATTTTGTGCGTACGCGCGTGTGTGTGAGAGAGAGGATTCAGTGATTGCTTAGCAGAGTGCCTGGCACATAGTAATTTCTTGTCCTTATAATAACTGTGATCTTATCACTTCTTTTCTCTTAAATTTGCAATGAAATTGTTCATTTTTTCCTGATGTATCCTTCACTTCTTAGTTTTAATTCATTTGTGCTTTTGTGTGCCTCGTATTAAGTGGCATCAAATCAAATAGTGTCTGTAAGCCTTCTTAGAGTTAGCATAGATGGCTGCACTAAAATGAAGGAGGTGAAATGCAGTGGCCACACCCTGTGGAACTGTTGGCGCTTGTCATAGGAAAAAGGAGCCTCTCCCTCCCACTCTGGAAACAAGGCAAATGGACCTGCTTTTTGAATTTGCTCGAGTCTTTTGTTTGAGAACTCACTCTTTCTCCAAAGCCTCTATCTCTAAGCTATTCTTTGATTTTTTAAGATTTTTATTTGTTTATTTTTAGACAGAAGGGTAGAGAGGGAGAGGGAGAAGCGTTAATGCGGGGTTGCCTCTCACACGCCCCCAACTGGGGACCTGGCCTGCAACCTAGGCATGTGCCCTCATTGGTGAGCCTTTGATTTGCAGGCTGGTGCTCAGTCCACTGAGGCACACCAGCCAGGGCTCTGAGCTATTCTTTAATATCATCTTCTTAGCGAGTTTCTCTTCATGCTTCAGATATCTAGGTATCTCTTTTTTCTATAGCCTTAAATTTTTACCCTGTATAGGATGTTTATATTTTATTATGCTGTGTGTTCATTAACTCAATCAATGTTTATTAAGTATCTACTATGTTTTTGGCATGGTGCTAAGGTCTAGTAATACACAGGTGAGGAAATGTCAGGTCAGGCAATTAATGTTAAAAGTGGGTAAGTGTTATGAAGGAGATGTCCTCTGTGTTATGTGACAAGCTCCTGATGTCTGTCATCAGGGAAAGCTATATGACAGAGGAACATTTAAGATAAGTCCTCAAGAACACACTAGGAGGTCATTGTGACATTAAATTTACTTTGAAAGAGGTTCTAATTTAACATGTAAGGAAAGTTTTGTTTCCCACAGTGTAATGAATGTTTTGACTGAATAAGTCAAATGATTATCATTAGCCATTCAGTGTCTTTCATCTCCACTAGTTGACGTCACGATAATGCATATAACTTTCCCTCTGAAATACAGTGTCATTGATCATTAAAGCCAGCCAATCATAGTTTCTCTAATCCATTCATGAGCATCTCATAAATGTGTGTAATTTGCTCCGGGCTCCTGCAGTCACATAATTCACTGTTGTAGTTAGGAACATGGTCTAGTTGCATGAGGAACCCAAGTGGCCAGCTCATGGTCTGTCTCTTCTGGGGCCCTTTCACCTTGATTCGAATCCTGACTCCAGCCGTAGCCAGCTATGTGACCATGGGCAAGTCACCTGATTGTCGGTGCCTGAGTTTTCTCGTCTGCAGCATGGCGATAGCAGTACTGCCCGGAGCCCTGGTCGGTGTGCCTCAGCGGGTTGGAGCAGTGTCCATGGACCGAAAGGCTGCGGGTTCCATCCAGGGAGGGCGCGTGCCCGGGTTGCGGGTCTGATCCCCGGTTGGGGCGCACACCCTGGTTGGCGTGTGTACAGAAGGCAGCCAATCAGAGGCAACCAGTCAGTGTTTCTCTCTCACATCAGCGTGTCACTTTCACGTGGGTATCCCTCTCTTTCCCTTTCTCTAAAAGCAATGAAAAATAGGATGTCCCCAAGTGAGGATACACTTCTTTTTAAAATAATACTGCCTGTGTTATAGCAGTGCTGTGTGCAGAAGGTTAAAAAGCTGTTCCTACACACCAGGTTGCGCCTGCCACCTCCTGAGTAATATACAGCGCTTTCACAAATAAGGCCATTTGACTTCCAGAGAACATGGATTAAGGATATCATTTTAGAAAGCAATAAAAATTATAAATGTGCTTAATTTATTCATTTTTGAATTGGAACACAAATGACAGCAGTTAATGGGATGCAGTGGAAAGAGTCCCATCCTGGGACTCTTGGGTTTTATTTCTGTCTCTGTACTAATTAGCTTAACAATTTGATAGTCAAAGGTTTAGAGCCTGTTTTATCCTTTGGAAAGAGACAGGGTTTGGACTCAGAGAAACGCCACATTCCACGAAATTAGGAATCCCGTCAAAAAGTGCTTGCTTGCTTGCTTTGTCATTCCTGGCTATTGTTTGTCAGTCATACTAAACACCAATTTTTATCTTTCCAGGTGTTATCACTAGTTATGGGCTGTATCTGGATGGCGTATTAATTCAGAATTCCTCAGAACTCAGCTGTCACGTCCGTGGGTTTGCTCCGTGGAGCTTACATTCCTTCCGAGTGCAAGCCTGCACGGCCAGAGGCTGTGCGTGGGGCCCTCTGGTGAGTACGCCTGCGCCTTGCCGGGCGCAGGGCAGGTCTGTGTCATGAACGAGGAATCAGGGAGACGTGGGTGCTGGCGACCACGCTCCGCACAGCTAGCTTTTCAGGCAGGACGGAGCGGGGAGGTGTTTCTTTTTATAACATTTCATCTAAGACTTAGTGAGGGTTTATAGTCAACATCAGTTTCAAAACTGCACGTGGCTCTACTCAAGGACAGAATCATCGATATTTCATTGAAATTTCTAAATGTATTGGTACGTTGACCAGCTTAGCAGGCAGGCCTACAATTTTGCCTAACTTAGTAACATATTTGAAGTGTATTTGTCCTTCCTGATAATGGGTTCTACAATTAGGGAAGTTTATGATTAAAAAGTGAAAATAATCGAAAGCCCATAACCACTACAGTAGGGCAACACTGCTCCCCAATAATTGAGCTAACCAATTAAAAGGTTGAGTTCACCTCACCTATTAGAATTAAATATTTTCATTTTATTAGTGTAATATAGCTTCATGAGAATAGTTTTTAAAATTACATTTAAATCAGCTTTTGATAGCCACATTTTAGAAATCTATAATATCTATGTTTCATTAGTAGCTAAAAGATTGACAAAATTATGCTTTTTATTACTAGTCTAATTTTAAAAACCTAATTAATAGTACATAGTCTTCATAGACTAGCATGACATCCTTTAGTTTCAAAACATCACATTTTAATTTTGTGCGCTTTTCTTGATTAATTAGATTTACCTTCCTTTAACGGAAATGCTCATTAGTTTTAGATTCTTTCTGGCAATCTCTCCCAATGCTCTATCATTTTAATGTACTCTGTCTTCATTGAAGAGTGTATTGTATAAATATTACTTTGAAAAAACAGCTCTACCATTTAATTTTTGCTTCCTTATTTTTCATCACACCTCCCATTTTGTTTCAAAAATTGGTTGCTTTCCAAGCTGCTAACATCATCTATCCGGGGAACTGAGCTTGTAGTCTTTATTGCCATTAAGTATTTTATAGCCCAAACCCTCGGATGGTTACTTACTCTTAAAAGCAGGAATGGCAATAGGCCAGCTTTTCTTCTCCATTCAAAGAAGGAAAAGAAACAAAAGAACACTTCACAAGAGCATGAAACTTAGACTTTTTCAGAAATGCAACCTGCCAGTCATGGTCTGGGCTACTACACTGTCTCTGGTTGTAATAGCGACTTTAAACAAGGGGGACGCAATTATCGATCTGTGTCCTGTGTGGATAGTAGGCAACGTTAGCCTTAAGAAATCACATGCCACAGTGCCTTGATGGGACAGGGAGACAGAATAGGGTTGTAAAACCTACTCTGCTGCAGCCCCATCCACGCCAGAGTCAGCCCTGATGTGGAGAGGTCTTATTTTCTCCCCTTGGTACTTTCTTAATCCTGCGTTCAGTACGCAGACGCTTTTCTCAAGTCAGTGATCCATCTCTAATCACTGGAATTGAACAATAACATCTTTATTTAGAGCAAGTCAACTCTCTGCTTGCCAGGAAGTGAGAACCCAATGTCTTCAATAGATTTCTAAAATATTTTGTACCAATCACAGGACTTAATATTCCCTTAAGAGATTGCCTGTGAGCCTTCTAAGTGGCCCAAGATATCTCTCATAATCATGCAGGATATTACAGATTCAGGTCTTTTTGTTGAGGATTTTTTTAACATGTCTCATTTACGAAGTCTGTGAGTCAATCTTAAAAATCAGGTTTTCCTATTATTAAGTTACAATATGATATTCAACAAGATTCAGCCAAATGTAATGACTACATATACGTATTACAGTCATTCTTTTACCTGAAACCCAATGTTGTAACATTTTATTGAAACAAAAATATACAACTTCTACTTTTAAATAATTTTCTCGCAGAAATCAAAGGATATATTTTGTGAGAGTCAAATCTTTGGTTCATCTAACAACATTTCTTAATGATAACTCTTGGTTTTTAGAAAACCTGCCTGTTTATTTTACATCTGTTATATATTTATTACTATTCATGCATGCAGGGAAATCCTATTCAAAGTCTTCTGTGACAGATACATTCTACAGACATGAATGTGTTATGATTCACCCTCAAAATTGACAAGTAATCAATTACTACATGAAAAATAATTTCAAAAGGACAAATTTGATGAAATACAGTATTTATAAAATTGCATACACAAATTCCACATTCTTACCATTCTAATGTAGTATTAGCTCAAATGTTGTTTTTTCCTTTAGCCTCACTAAGTTTATTACCTGTTGTTTGTGACTCAGAGGAATTGCTCTATACCCATTTGAAAAAAAAAAAAATTTTCTGTGGTTCTTGTCCAGTAACACAATATATTTTGCTCCTAAGGAAATTCCATTGTAAAAAGCAGTTTACAATGTCTTTGATACTAATTTTAACATTCTAATATGCATTGTCAAATTAAATGTAGTAACCGGGGCTTTATAAAAGTTTGAAATAATAATTTAAAAAAAACAGAAAATGCAACAGAGAATTTTTTTAATTGCCTTCCTTAGTTCCAGTTATATTGTTAAGTGGTATTATAGAGAAACCCTTTACGTTTTGTGTGTCTGTGTCTGGCAATGACTTTGCTTTTGTTTGTTTGTTTGTTTCCACTTGGCAGCCTAAGACTGGGAATTTTATGACTCTGTCTGGCCTTTCACCATCATTGGCCTCGGTTCCCCAGGGGCCTCTTAAGGGTGGAGTCTGAAACTGCAGGTCACGGGTGTGTCAGATGGTCAAAGAGCTGGCGTGGTTTCCTGGCGATGGCAGGCTGGCCCGAGTGAACACCCGGACACACATGGGCACATGCATTTTCACATTTACTTGAATATGTCTTTAAGACATGGAGATTTTAATTACAATAGATAATATGGTCAAGAAAACACTACATGGGCAGTTGACCCCATTATTATCTGCTGCTGTTCTCCATGCCTCTTTGGGAAACGTTCTACTAAACTTGAGCTTTCTCACCTGTTATGAAAGGAAAATAATGCCTACTTGAAAAGGGTAACTGTAAAAATTTAAATGAAATATAGTTTATACAAGGGTATCTGATACTTGGTAATTTCATCAAGACTGAAAATTTTATTAAAATGTTCACATGCTTTAATTGCACATTTGTTCTCAGTGTATATGTGTGTGCGTAGGTCTCACAGAAGGTTCCCAGGTAAAGGCCATGCCGAACTTCTAGAATGCCTCTCCCATAACATTCTTTTTAAGGCAAGGTAGACAATCAAAAGGTTAAAAAAAATTAAAAGTCTGAGTTAGAGCAAAATAGTACAATTGCCAAATTTAATGTGGAACAAAGCCTGGAGTGTTTCTCCAGATATTTAAGGACATTTAAAAAATATGTCTATTTTGAATTAATAAGATATTTGAGGATAATATAATTTTCTGGAATTGTCCTAATTCTTCAACTGTTTGAGTCTCATTTTATTTGGAACCCTTTAAAATCATTTTTATGCAATAATTTGGACTTTATGCATAGACATAATAATATTATTTGCATTGTTATGAAATATTAAAATGATGAATTGATACTTTTCCAGTCAAGGGTCTTGATCATTTTTTGTACATAACCATTAGGCTAAAGGAAATAAAATGAGCAAAAGTTATAAATCTAAATAACTTTCTCAGATGAAAATAAAACATGCTGTGACCTCATAGTTGTTAAATATTACATTCTTTGTCACATTTGTTTTCATAATTGAGAAGGGAAATGAACTCTAACAAATGAAGGTTTCGTAATTGCAAATATCTGCCTTTTTGTAAGACATGGGCCAACACTTCAAAAATAAGGTCAAAATTATCAACATGTTCAATAAATCTCAAAAGGTCAATGTTTATGAGTGATGCTTACGAATTTGTGGTGATTAGTTACCGGATTTGAGCCAGTTAATCAGAGATGCAAAAATATTCTGAACCCCTTTCTACTCTCTTACAACTTCCTCTTCCTCTGGTCACTTAGTTGTTTTATTTATTTTGGTATTAAAATCTTTCTGGGCCCTGTACAATTTGGGCTTCCACTTTATTTCAGAGTCCTTCTCTTCAAATAATTCACCGTTTGCTATTTTCTGCCTAGGCTCATTGACACTGTATTAATGCCATTTCCAGTGACATTGTTTTTGTGATGACACCTTAGGGATGGAGTCACTCGGGCGCATTTATTTTTGGATGTCTGGCATGACTCCATCCTTGCGCACCCAGCGGCACCGCAGCTCAGGGAGCTGCACGTGTGTATCGGGCAAAATGCTTGCTGTGGCCTTTGACAAAGTCCAAAAGTCAGGAAGTTACAGGCACAGGGCTGTCGCCTTTCTTCTCTTTGGCAATCCCACGGCCGTTGTTTCTAAGCAGTCCTGGAGGTTGTCTGCGGCTACGCACAGCCGTAGGCACAGTCACGGTGGGACTGGAGCCGCACACTCTGGAAGCCACCAATAACTGCCTTGGTCGGGAGCGCACACTCTAAGCTCTAACAGCAGGAGGAAGAAAACACGAGGCATGCTTTGATCCTGCTGACAAAATGAGGCATTCATACAAGATGCTACTGTCAAAATAGTTTACTTCACAGCCAGAAGAGATTCTTTGAAGAAGCAGGCTCAAAGCGAAGCGTGTACTTACTTTATTTGCAAACAAAAATAAATCTTTTTATACTCCCAGGTGGAAAATCGAACTCTAGAAGCTCCTCCGGAAGGAACAGTAAATGTGTTTGTCAAAACAGAGGGATCCCGGAAAGCCCACGTGAGGTGGGAAGCCCCTTTTCACCCGAACGGACGCTTGACATATTCAGTCCTTTTTACTGGGACATTCTACGCAGAGCAAG